AGGTTTTTCATCAGAGCTTTAGATTCAAACACAAAAAGGTGGTTTAGAATCCATTTGGTTGAGTGGACGTCTTCAATTCTTTAAGCCAGGAGTGTCAAACTCACGGCCCACGGGCCGGATGCGTCATATGCTTCCCCCTGCCCCGGAATTAGAGAAGGGGGGAAAAGTCCTGATGCATCACATGACAATGCAAGTTTGACACCCCTGCTTTAAAGTTCATGTGGCAGCTAGTTTAGATCAAACTTCCTTTTCATTTCTTATAATAAATAATTTAACTTCGTGCATATAAATAGTGCGATCAAGGAATAGCGTAACAGATCAAGAATCAAGGACTGTTTCCTATTTTTTTCAAAGCATGCACTTGAAACAGTAGACATTAATAACTTAAACAACAGTTTATTTCAATTTTCTAATGTCTAATATTTGTAATTAAATCTTGGGACCCTAACAATGAATGACTTTTACCGAAGGCTTTAAAAAACTACCATATATCAAAATAGTTAAAATTGAGTTATGTGAATAAATCTTAACTTTTTATGGACTTTCTATATCTTATTAATACATTTGTTGGAAAAATACTATGAATTTGCCTATGGTGTTAAAACATGTTAAAAGATTGCACAGATTTCATCTAGAGTTGATATATACTTTTTGGAGATATATATTAGTATAAATATTGAGCTAAATATTGTCTAAAAGGTTCCCAAAAGATGGTGGTAGAACTCTGGTTTAAGTTTATTGTATGCACTCATTTGCTATCTTCAGGTAAATTGAATAAATCACTGAGAAACAAAAAGGACAAAACATCATCAGGCTGTCAGGAAATAATCAGATAATCTTCTGTGTGATCTGTAGTTAGGTTCTTTCCCAAGAAGGCAACATAAGCAGAGAATGACTGTAAGAGAAGGCATAAGGCAAATAAATCAAGAGGAACAGCAAAGGCTGACCACTACTGAAGTTAAAAAGCCTGAAGAATGCCTTCTAATACTTTCTCAGCGGTTGCATCCAGGTCATCATTTAGGAGCCCTTGTGGCAGAGTGTTTAAATACAGTATTGCAAGCAAACTCTGTCCATAGCCAGGAGTTCGAACCTGATGGAGCTCAAGGTTGACTCGACCTTCCATCCTTCTGAGGTCAGTAAAATGAGGACCCAGATTGTTGGGAATGTATGCTTATACATTGTCCAGAGAGTGCTGTGAAGCACTATGGGATGGTATATAACAGGGGTCCCCAACCGCCGGTCCGCGGACCGGTTGCTGGGCGCCGCCATCTTTTTTTGGTAAAAAAGTGCTTCTGGTGAGCTTTTCCGGGTAGAAAGCTCACCGGAAGCACTTTTTCATCAAAAAAAGATGGCGGCGCCAGCGCTTCCGGTGAGCTTTTCCGGATAGAAAGCCATTTCTACCCAAAAAAGCTCACCGGAAGCACTGGCGCTGCCATCTTTTTTGACGAAAAAGTGCTTCCGGTGAGGTCACCGGAAGCACTTTTTCGTCAAAAAAAGATGGCGGCGCCCAGTTGATGCCGGTACCGGGCCGCGGCGCCCAGCTGATGCCGGTACCGGGCCGCGGCGTCAAAAAGGTTGGGGATCACTGGTATATAAGTCTGAATGCTATTGCTATCATTTCAATGTTTAAGTCCGTCATCCAGCTGATAGCTGCCTAAATATTAGTATTTCACTAGCAAATGTTAGAATATTTAGGGGGAGGCATTTTATTGATCAAAGGCCTTAGAACGGATGCATTCCCAGAACCCAAAATTTCTGCTGTTAAGTGAGGCATTTATAGAGTTTTGCCCCATTTTACAGCCTTTCTTGCCACAGTTGTTAAGTGAATCACTGCCATTCTTAAGTTATATAGTTAACATGGTTGTTAAGTAAGTTAAGCTTCCTCACTGATCTTGCTTCTCAGAAAGCTGCAAAAGGGCAACCGTCATAAATATGGGTCAGTTAGCAAGCATCTGAATTTTGATCGTATGACCATAGGGATGCTACAATGGTTGTAAGTATAAAAAATGGTCATCACATTTTTCAGTGTCATTGTAATTTCAAACGGTCACTAAATGAATTGTCAAGGACTACCTATATTAGAAGGAACTATAGCTAATATGGGATATTGCTACAGTACCACCATCAAAATGTGCTGTGTAAGTTTTTTACACTTCAGCTGTTACGTTTGCATCTATAAATATACTGAGATCAACCACCGCAGCTATTTAATTATTTTAATACATAAATTTTGTGTTATTTTACTGTTAATCAGGGCTCTACTGATCATACAACAAGCCTGTTATTGTCAGCTCTTTTGAGAAGTAGAGATATTTGCAAAAATGTTCAGGGAAGTATATCATTGAATATATTTCATTGCAGCCGATTATGCTTGGATACTTATTTTTCACCTTAATCTGGAAAGACGGCATACAGAATTAATGAGCACTGGAATAAATGGGAAGGGGAATAGGAAAGTAACAAAGAGTTACTGAATAAATGAACATTAATTTATACTTTTTTTCAGATGTTAAACATAAGTAACCATAATGCATAATGATTGGGGAGTTCAATATGTTCTATAGGATTTGTGAAAGATGCACAAATAAATCTACAGGAGAGATTACTCCATACAAATATTCAAATGTTAAGAACACAATGGTATTCATGGTGCCTAGCTAAGACAATCCTGACATGGCCCGCCACTTTTTTATGTAGCCTATGATTTGGTGCTAGAGAAATTACATACAACATTACTATGATTATGCCTGAGGAAGCACAGCAATTACACAGGCATGGTTTCCAGGCACAAAGTATTAATCCCTATTCACAGAGAAGTAGATCAGTGAACAGCACAATAAATCAAGCACTAGTTCTTTCTTTCTACTTATAATTTAGAAAACCTACACAATAACGACAAATACCTTATGCCTAACTATGACCTATTGATTTGCAGCTAGAAAATCTGACTCAGGAATGCCTAAGAATTCAGCAATGTTATTTATGCTTTTATTTTTTTAATTCTTCCAAATGTGTTTATTTTTTAAATAATCTCATTTGGGATTAGCATTCCTCTGAGAACAGTAAAAATATTAATTCCATTTCCAGCTTTCTGTATTTCACATTCCTTCTTCAACTGTATAGGGAATGTTTCAGGACAGCTAACTGTCTGCTTTAATTAAAACTGTAAGTAAATTGTAGGTGGTCTTGATAAACTACTGAAAGAGCACTGGTGACAGCATTACAGCTGAAAAATAACCTGCACGTCAAGCAGCCTGATCAATATAATAATTACTCCAGGCTGAAACAAAAGTACAATCTCTAGCTGAAGGCAGCCAATTGTGAAAGGTGGCTATTCTGTTGTACATTATGTGATGTAGGTAAGCTATTAATGATAAAAAATTAAGAAACAGTTGGAACTAAACAAGTAGCTTTGGAGTACTTTAAATAATTGCTAACTTATAAACCCTACAGCTATATAACCCGGCTTGTTATCCTCTGATTGCCTCATTATCACACACTCATTGCTAAATTGTTTTCTTTTATCTTTTATATATACACATATACATACACACACACACACACACACAAAGTTAATGAGACTTTTTTTTAAAAAAAAACTCATTTTCAAGTTTAATGTTTTTATTGTTAAATATAATGATGCACTATATTAACACAGTAAGATGTTACTACGAATGCTATGTATTTGAAACAGTGTTATCCAAAACATTGTAAAATTATAATAATTTTAGGTAAAATGCTGCTAGGAAAAATACCATATTATATATATATTTGCATAGTAGCTGATCAACTGTGTTTGCTAAGAACACAAGTGGATACAGAGAAACTGCTTTTCATGAGCATGATGTTATTACAATGTACCTGTGTCTTTGTCCTGTACTTCTTCCAGGTGCAAGTCATTCAGGAGATGCTCCAAAATCTTTTCTGGTGTCCCTGACACCACGACATATCTGTCAGAAAGGAGAGAGTCCACAGTGTCATCCTCTGTTGAAGACTGAGAACGGCTGCTCCATTCATCTTCCTCATCTTCTTCATCAATGTATTTAAAATAAGGTACATCAAATGTGTGCAAAGGCAATTCTCTGCCTGGAAACAAAGCAGAATCCTTCTTCTCTATGTGAGGGTCAAAGATCCTCAGCCTTGAACTTCCCATACTGTATGGCAAATGAAAATGACATTCCCTCAATGCTGCCCTCTCACTTGGGTTGCCAGCAACTGAATTCAGCCAGCTGCTAAGAGCTCTGCGTCAGCATGACTCTAGCTGAGTCTGAGCACCAAGGAAAAACTCTTACCTCCAATCATTCTCTGCACTCCGAGATGTGGGGGTTGGGCTCTGTGACAACACTCTCCTAAGCACCAGCACATCTTGGTCGAGTTCCTTCGCTTGAGCAGTGGTCACTTCATCATCCAGCTTTAATTTGGAGAGAGAGATAAACAACAAAGAGAAAAATGAATATAATCTCAAGGGGCTGAAAGAAAGAAGGGGTGGGGAATAGCTTTGATTAGTGCTGCGTTTTTTTCTCTCTATCAGGGCTGCCATCCGCAGCAGGCACTGCCTTTGATTTACATTCAGAAAATTCACAATGCACCAGAATGTGAGCAGTGCTTTCTTTTCCCAGGGGCATTCATAGCGTATAACAAAGCTGTTAATTACAAATTATTAGATTTAACACTTAAATGAAAGGATGACAGTTAATAATAGAAAGAGGAGCATTTAGTTTGCTTTCTGCTTGATCGAAGTTACATCCTGCTCTTGCCTACAACTTAAAATTATTGAAGAAGTTATAACCATTTTATGCCACTTTACAGAATTTCAGTGAGTTTAATTGCTAACTTAATATAACAGACTATCCTATAAAACTATTCAAGCAATGACTATGTCAAAGAATACAATATTCATTCTTGCATGCTGAGCCCACATAACGAAAAATTAACTTCTGAAAACCAAAGCCCACTAAACGCATGGGATAAAATTTACAAAAGATTGTCTCTTGAAAAATAAGTATCACTGTTTGTTGTACTGACTTTCTTTACCCTAGAGCCTATTAAATGAAGGGATTATTCATAGACATACAGCCTATTATAATAACAATCTTAAAAGGGTGACTGTATAGAGCCAGGCTTATTGACTAAACAGCCTGAAGGAACTATACTGCTTTGTGAAGAATTCTCATTTCTCCCAAGAGCTTCCTAGAAATATCTTGCATACAACACACTCTGATATTATTTAAATTATTTGAGGCAATCTGCATCCTTTTGGCTATGTTCAAATGTAAATACTTCTCACATCCCATAAGACAATGCAACACATAGGGCCAGACTCATTTGACAGAAGCAAACTGGCTGTATACATGAGAAAACGTAAAGAATTATAAATTATTTGATGTTTAATTTTCTTTTGGTCATCATTTTTTCATAACATGAAGGAATTTGAACACAAATCAGCAATAGAACTATATATTGGTGCCAGAGGAGTCACATATATATGAAGTCATATCTGCACACTTTTATTTATATATAGGAGGGGGGGAGGGGGGAGGGAACATAATTATTAATTTTTTTCAGGTTCAGATATGCAGGTACTAAATCAATTAACATAAACCTTTTGTTGAAAAATTCCCTTGGGAGATAAAGACATAATGTTTCAGGAATACCAATGTACAACTGTAATTTTCTATTTCATGGTATACGCTTTTGTTGCCCACAATTTGCAAGTCAGACATAAAACAGTAAGCTATGTAAAATCACTAACATTATTCCATTGAAATATATTAAAAGACAACCTTCTCATTTTATTTTATTTTTAACTATTCACCTAGATGCATTTAATTCTAATCTATTACAGTCACATTTATATCTCAACTTTCCTCTAAGATCTCAAAATGGTGTATTGGATAAACCCCTTACTATATCACCCACAATTGCTCTGTGAATAACTCCTGTGTTTGTGTGTGTATTATTTATTCATACATATACACACACACACACAGGATATATATGTATGAATAAATGACGTGTGTGTGTGTGTGTGTGTGTGTGTGTGTGTGTCTGGTCAAAATGAGTTTCTTAGTCAAGTAAGAACTTGAATCTAACGGTCCAACTCCAATATCTCATGCAATATATTGCACTAGCTTTCAAAATAGACACTATTACTTTCAGATGCCACATGCTGAAGATCATAGTGAAGACCATGGTGGGGACCATGGTGGGGACATGAGGCAATCCTGCAGTCTTCCTAGCAAACCTGTGTTGTGCCTGCTGCCTCCTGCTTCAGAGCATCGAGGAGGCCAAGCAGCAGCAGGAAGAGCATGGACCTCCTGAGTCGCAGGAAGTGTCTGCCAGCAATGCCCTCAGAAGAAGATGTTGTGAGGGGGAGGCTCAACCCTCTCCCCTCAGGAGCTTCTCTTCCCCCTCCCCAGAGTGCTCATACACCCAGCGGGAAGGAGGATGCTTGGCGGGTGCCAGAGGGGCAGTGCGTGTGAGTGCTTCTGGTTAGGAGGATGAGAAGCTCCTAAGGGGAGGGCATGGGAGATCATGCCCTCCCCTCGCAGGCCAGAGAACACCCAGGAAGGGCTCAGACGCTATGGTATCCCGCGTGTATCAGTCCATCCACCACTGGTATAACCCCTGTTGCCCCACCTCCCTGCCAGCCATGGTTCATCAACCTCCAAACATCAGATTCTTATCACCCAGAACCAGTTCAGAGGTTCCTTTCCCCCCATCCCCAGGGACAAAAACAGGAGAGGAGAGGGAGAGAAAGAGGAAACAGGAGAAAGGGAGAAGGAGAGAGGGAGGGAGGAAAAGAGAGAGAAAGAGAAAGAGGGAGAAAGGGGGAGGGAAAGAGAGAGAGAGTGAGGGAGGGGAAGAAAGAGAGATGAGAGATCCTGGGGTTTTGTTTTCTGTGGGAAATGGGTCCAAATGACTCTGAGTATTTAAGGTTGCAGAAATAGGCAGCCAAGCTCAGTGCCCGAAGGACCTCACACTGTTAGTGGGAGTCCAGGTGCTTCAGTGAGTGGCATGCTGGATTCATATTAGTGGTCAGAGGGATTTAAAATTATGAATTTAGTGGTCCCTGAGGTCCAAAAGGTTGGTGACCCCTAATCTATATAATATTTGCATCCCTGTGCTGTGTTGGTTATAGTATCTGGCAGTGTCTTGTATTGTGTTTACTGTATTTACTATGTTGTGTATACCACAAATATTGTGCCCACTTCTCTTGAACTTGCCAGGTAGTTTCTTTTTCTTTTGAAACGTTGCTTTTAGTGAAAACCCTTAAATGGACAATTCAGAGAAAATCTCACCCTGCCTATTTAAGAACTAGCAAAAAGAAAGATGAAAGCATAAATTAACTACTTTAGTTAAATATTTTTAAACTACATACATTTTTTCCTTAAATTTCTGGATCATTAGTGATTTCAAAATACCAAAAGAGACTTTCCATGAAGGAGTAGTATAATAATTGTTTAGGAACATAAAATTACAACATGCATTAATTCACTTCAGTGAGAAATTTAGTGTAAGGCCACATTGAACAGGAAAATTTATTTCACTGCTGCATTAGCTAAAACTAACAATTATACATCTAGCAATAATCTATTTTTCATCTTCCCACAATGTGATGCTGGTACCTGGGTATGACCTTGAGCACAAAGCAAAGGATACATTTGCAGAGCGTGCAAAAAGCTTCACAAGTTATAGAGGGCCCCTATTGAAAAGCAGCATGTTTAGGAAAACAGAAGATGCTAATACAGTCTTGAATTTCTCTGAAAGCAATGTGAAATTAAATTTCTGTGTCTGTTAAATTTGTCTTTTTGACTTGAAAGCTCAAAAATATGTTTCAACCTGCTTTGTGAAATTACAACTTTCTTTATTTGTATTATTATTTTTTGCTGTAAATATACTATGAAATAAACCCACTTTGGAACAAACAAAACTACAAGAATCTGACAGTATAAAAAACTATGATAAAAATAACATTTTGTATTTGTAAAATACAATTCTCAAGTGGTGATGCTTAATTGGCTTCATGATAAGTATTCATCTCCACTGTAAAAAGTCCTTAGCCTAACTTAAAACCCACCCATAACGAAATACTTAGCTTCTCTAAAATATCAAAACAAGAAAGTCTTGTTTATCTAAAATAAAACTGTCATGTGCCATTTTTTTTAAAAACAGAAGATTAAACAAGATAGTACATGTACCAAAATTGCTGATGTTATCATCTTAATGGTTAGAGTTACAATAAGTACTATTAGTACTATTAGTAAAATCCTTTTAACTGGAACAAGGCTAGATGAACATATCCAATCACTCTAAAATAGTACCATTTAAGTATACTAAGCCTATACCACTGAGAGTTTTATTTAATACGATAAATAAATAGTGTGTCTTCATGAACAATTGTTACATTAGGACAGGACAAAGGTCCTTAATGAGAGGAATGGCTGAAAAAGAAATGCCTGTGGAAAGGTGGATAAACTACTTGCATCCAGCTAGTTTCCATTTGGCCTAATAAGCAAAGAACAAAAACCAGAATACAAAATAATTCTGAAAGCATAATTCTGAAAGATTTACTGAGGATACATATGGTGGTCTTGCACATAGATAGAAGAGCTTCCTCCCACCCATGGTTCAACTAAAAATTGAATATTGAGGGAGCTTACAAGTTTGCTTTTTAACTCTCTGCATAATAGATTAACAATGTTTAGCAATAAAAATACCATCACAGTTGGTAGCAGGCTTAAGAAAAATTAAAAAGCAAACTTTTAAAACTGAGTCTTATACAAAAGTCTTATACAAAAAGGTTGCAATTGTATAACTCTTGTTTGCTTATAGAAATGACCATAATAAAATTGTAATATTCTGAATTTCAGATGAAACAATTGCCTCATTATCTTTAAAGTGGCTATATTTCAGCTAGGTTTAAATCCCCTGGATCAAACCAAAGACTATCTAGTTCAGAATTCTATTACAGAGGCCACGTAGATATTAATGGGAAGCACAGGAAAGAAACAAGCACAAAAGCACCTTACTGTATACATTTCCTTACCCAGTGATACTTAGAAGTATACAATTGTATCTATGATATTGTCTGTAATAAAACATTCCAACCAGTTGTCATTAATATGTCTGTTATCCATAACTCTGGTCTTTAAAATCATTTAATAAGAAACAAAAGGTAAACTTAATTAATAGTGTATTTCATTACTTACAATATTTATGATCAGTATTTATTTATTTTATTTTTATTTATTTTTATTTGTCAATCGCTTACAAGATAATAGGTATAAGTATATACATAGCTATGAATACATGAAATGGGTACATATAAGAAAAATAAAAGAAACAATAGGACAGGGACGGTAGGCACGTTGGATCTCCCTACAGATCTCTTAGGAAAGGGGTGAGGTC